ACCCCCACCCTCCAACGCCGGGGCCCCGCAAACGCATGCCTCCACTTCCATGCAAGCGTCCTCATCCGGCGGACAAGCGCAGGAGAGAACCTTCTCGCACGCACCCGCTCAACGCGGAGAGTCTTCGAATGCGCCACTACTCGCCAGTGAGCCATCCGAGGCGCCAACGGCCAGCAACGAGTCTTCGAATGCACCGTTGCTCGCCCACCTCAACGATCAAGACGCCGCGCCGCGTGGGCGCCTTGCAAATATCGTCTTTCTCGTCAAGCGCGTCTGGCAGAAGACTCGGTTCTGGAAGCGGCCGACAGCGCCGAACTAGAGCGGCTCCATTGATGATGTGAAAAGTGTAGGGAAAGGCGGGTTTGCTGCGGAGCAGCGACTCCTCGAGATGTACTGTCGTACTGTATTCATCTTGGGACATTGAGCAAAATTCATTGAATCTATAGGCGGTCGTGATTACTGTACGGCTGGTCATATCTATGAAGAGGTGGGTATAATAGCACGCGAGATTCATCTCCGATCCATCAACAGTTCCAGAGCGACAGGAACGATGACGGACCGTCTGCACGCGCCTGGTTTAAGTCCCGTGACCGTGCTCATCTTAGCCTTTGGGTATGCTTCGTTGCGGCTGACCAGCTTATATGAAAGTTTATGAGGGGGCAGTCCCGGCCTGGCACCTACTTCACACATACCAAAGGTCGTAGCGCCTCGTGTTTGGATCACGCTGTGTACTCAACATGGAGCGGGAATTTTGAAAACTCTGGTCTCAAAAGAAAGATCTGCAGGACGCCAAAGACGCATTCGGATGCATATTAGGGTTTGTGCTTCATATACATTGATTCCGTTCGTTCGCAGCCGCAGTTCCAGGAGGTGAAGCGTACTTAGCCGGAGTAGCCGCTGAGCGGAAACCCAAGGACGGGATGCGCAGATCCGGCGCGAAGAGCGTGTAGCTCCATGTTGCCCACATCCCCCTCCGTCTTCCTCCTGCCGAGTAAGCCATACATGCTGTTCGACGTCACATTACGAGGCACCGGACGCTCGTAACGGCGACGGAGTACTGGAGCGACGGACTCCTGAGCCTGAACGCGCGCTGGCTCTGTGGCGGGTGTCGGTTCGACAGATGATGTCGGTTTGGAGGGCGGTAATTGAAGGGTATCTGTCATAGAAGGCGATGGTGTGACGGGATCTCCCTCAGAGGGCGGCGGGTCAAGAGGATTTACCTCGGAGGACGTTAGCCCGAGGGGATCCCCGTGGGAGGGCGCCGGCTCAGAAGGATCTTGTGCTGCATGTATGGGATCGAAAGATGCATTCTCCAGGGCCGCATGCTTGGGGTTCACGGGCTCGGTGGAAGCGTCCCCAGAGAGCTGCGTGCCCATCTTGACCAAGCTTGCAAGGTCGCGAAGCGCCCTGATAGCCACCTGAAAAGATGGGTCGAAGGCTCCAGATTCGGGGTCTGGAAATTGAGATCCAGGCTGTAGCCATCCGGCCAAGCCGATATCCTTCAAGAGGTCGCGGAAGCAGGTAGAGGCAGGGTACATGCATTCACGACGGCGCTCGGCAACGGCTCCTGCGTTCATCAAAGGCCACTCGAACGTGCCGACAGCCTTCTTGGGGAGGAAGCGCTCATCGGGGTTGGTCCAAGGGCCATACCAGTCGCAGCTCTTAGCAGCGTTAAGCAATGTCAGGGCGTTGCGAGACGATAACTCCAAGAGAGGATTGAGTGCGCCGTCAAAGAGATCCTCCACATTGTCTGTTTCGTTTGCAGCCAGGGGCATTAGCTTGGTATGCCTATGGCGCTGAAGTTCTCGAAAGACGAGTTTGATCAAGTTTCTTCCGTCCGACAAGCCACCGTCCGGGGGCTCCACAGCGGTGGTTGTCAAGAGACGCAAGAGTGCGAGACGGAAGCTGGCAAGCGCGGCGGGTAGAGTAGAGTCCTTATCCTCCAGCGCCTGCCCCATGAATACGTCGAGCTTCGCGGCCAGGCGCGGAAAGGCCTCGAAGATCGGTTCAACGCAATACCATCTCCACGTCCCGCCCGTTTTCGCCTGCGCGATTTGATCACTAGGCGAGTCGGCTTCCAACAGCAGTTGGAGCATGCGTAAAGCCGCAGACGCGAAATAAGGTGAGGCCACGTCATCGAGGGAGGCAGCGATTTTGGCGACAAAAGTCGGCTCATTCCGCCATCCCGTGAACATGCTGTCGATGACGGGTTCCCGCGCATACGCAAGGACCCCGCCAAAATAGTGAAGAGAAGACGGGTGGTCCAAAGCATATTCCCATATCCGATCCCAGACAAACACGAGCTGCCCAGGAGCTAGGAGCGCAGGGTCTTCGTCGTCACTGATCCCGCTGCGAATGACTTCCGTGATGTACGGGACAAAGTGCGTATTGTTGTCTGTCTTGCGACGAGCGGCATACACCTTCGCTCCACGCCAAGCTCTCTTCGATGTGAGCGGGTCTGACATCACGGCGTAGAAGTTCAGAGGGTTAAGGAATCGTTTCGTCTGAACGTCGAGAGGACCCTCCTTGACGATGTGCATCCCAGCACTTGTGGAGTATACGATGTATGCCATTAGCATGCGCAGGCCCCGGTAGGGTATGACAAAGAATATGTAGAGGACGTCCGTCATGGGCGTACGATACGGGCACGTCTCGTCGTAGATAGGAAAGGCGCTCGCAATGATATAGGCGGCTGCAAAGGCGCCCGAGACCGCAGAGAGCACAATGGCAAGGTCCCTGTTGATGGGAAAGAGGAACATGTCCAGCCCGACCAAGAACAGTATGACTGCAGCGTGCATGAGGCCTATGACGATGGACGGAAAATTGTGCAAGCCATAGTTGTCTGCGCCCATGTATAGGCCCAGATGTTCGATGCATTTCGCCTCAACATGTACGTCCGACAGACGGGCCTGAGCTCTAATCAGATCCCTCGTCCATTCTTGCACCAGCGTCGCAAGCAGGCCAGACACAAGGGAGACGACGAGGGCGACGAACCACAGGATGTTCACGTAGAACGACGTATTCGAGAGGAGAAAGGGTGCTGGGTCGGGATTGATAGATTCTGTGTCATTGGCCTTGACGGCGGATATGAGCGTCGAGAGGAGCGTCACGCTCTGCGCTGCTGAATCAGGTGATAGCATCTTGTAGCTCTCGATTAAAAATGCCGCCACAGTCGCAGCGAAGAGACCGGCCTGAGGGATCGTCAGTAATGCGTCGGAAAACCAAGAGTATAAGTAAGCGCACGAAAGTCAGCACGCCAGTCATGGTAGTCGTAGAATAATCCCCCAATTCCTGCCTCTCCACCGCAACTGCTTTCTTATATCTCTCCCATACCGGTAGCCCAGGTTCTTTGCGTTCGAAGTTCAGGAGAGGAGTAGAGCTTGTGATGGAGACGTCGTTCGAGTTCGCGGGCATGATGAGCCGATGCGGAGCGGATGGCCGCCGTAATAAGAGGGGTGCTGAGAGCTAGAGCGGTCGTCGCGAGCAAAGGCGTGTTCTGAGCGAGATCTATATACCCTCATGCTTTATGGGTACTGGAGCCACAGCCTCAGTACGAAAGTAGAGCACAGAAGCCGCCGGTACGCACCGCCAGAGAGTTTCTTCAGCTTCATACCGGTGGCTGATGAGTTTCCGATCCGGAATACCCCGTCCCAGGGCAAAGCGTGAGGACTTTTGCAGACACGCCGACAAGGCGAGGACCGAGCGAAGTGCGAAGAGGAAGACCGATGTATGGGCGCGGAGTTGCTGCATACGCTTTTGGATAAGCCTTAGTCCTCGGCCACGAAGTGTTGGAATGCACGAAGTAGGGCGGCCGTCAGATATCTCGCCCGTCGCCGAACTTCGATCACTCGTCAGGGACCCCGAACCTTCAAAGCTTCGACCCCCAGCCGACTTTCGTCCGGCCCAGACGGTGTACACGATACGAGCAGCTGATGATGCACCCTTCCCGCAATTCCAGGCGATGACAGATATCCGCACTCGCGTAGTCAGGACACGTATGAGCATATGCGGATCACGTTGCCTAACAGTATCAAGGACTTGAATGCGTCCGGGCGATGGGCCATGTGCATTCACAATGTGGGGTACGGACATTATAGCGTGAGGGATGTGAGAAGCCTTCCTGTAGGTACCTGGTGCAGTCAACATCGGAAGATACCGAGTTTACCCTGGGAAACCACGATCAGCTACAGATGAACTTGACTGCACAGGACGAAAAGATGAGTGTCAAGTGTCATGTAAGATAATAGCAAGCGCTAGACTCCTCATATCTAGTCAATACAAAGGAAGGGGTACAAGCATGGCATCAGTTGGCTCTCTTTGCCAGCTTGCGCGATTTGTTACGGATAGGATAAGTGTCATTAACGCCGTACCCTGCGCATACGGCATGTTATAATGCTATCGTAAGTACGACTGCTCCGTGAGCCCCGGTGACAGGCTTACATAGCAAAAAGCGACGTACATTTTCAAGTCTTATTCGGCCGGGCCATCACTGAACACATCCACGAAGGGATGAAAGCCGACTCCGCATGTCTATTCGTTTGCCCACGAGCCCCGCGTGTCCATCACTTCGATGAAGGCTGAACGTTGAGAGAGGGACACAAACTCAACAAAGGCTATGTGTATGGTCCGCCCCACACTCCTGTGACAAGTATGCAAAGCACTGCATTTTTTGCCGCAGCAGCTCATGACCTCTCGCTCTTTTCCGCTATCTTGGAGCCCATATTTCTTCTGCCTACAGTCGAGAAATCCCTTCGCCGTGGTGTCATGTAGACGTATCTGCTGAGGGCAAACATGAGTACATTCAAGCATGACTTCCAACGAAGTTTAGGGCAACGCCGAACCGGCACCATATTCCAGTGTTCACGTTCCGTCAGTCCGAAGTACAGCCACATGCAAGTCTCTCTGGCTTGAGACAGGCAGGTCGGAGGGTAACAACTTTAATAGAACGGGATATCTGGATCCCTGTCAACTTGACGCGATAGAACTGAAAGTGTTTGAAAGTCAGGCAGCAATGCAAGGACTCCAGGTCCTGAATATCTTTACGGGCCAATTTGCGTGGCACGTTAAGCCCCCTTTCGACAAGAAGCATCGGATTCA